TGGCACCTAACACTTTTGAGGTTGTTACAGGTGAACTAATAATCAAAATTGTTTGAAATTGCTTTTTTTCTTTCTTCACACTTAAGTCCTCTAAAAAGTAATAAATAAATAAAAGTTATTACATTCCTAAAGCCTGCCACGTTAGTAGGGACCCTACAAATAACATTTACAAAATTTACTTCCTGAGACCACCCTCAAAATATATGCAGAGAGATGGGCGGGGACAAGTAGAAACAGGCACACATGTGTACGTGTGGATATATTATTTGTCTAGGACAACTGAGAAGCCAAGGCTAGAAAGATTTAGCCCTTCAGGATGACAACATTAAGAGCATTCAGTGATTTATAAGACAGGGAAGGGGAGGGCGAGTTCACCCCCCCCCTTCAGAATCAGCTCCTTGATTATAAACACTCAATAACTTTCCAGTTGAGAATGCATTTCCCGCTTTGCCTGTATGTTTCTGCCGTCTGCATGATTATTTCCTATTAGGAAACGCTATTTAATTCAGACCACAGCTTGGCGACCTTTGTGTGGCTTCCCCATTTAGGAAATTTACAAGTAAATCACCAAGAAATATGTACACATAGACTTATAAAATATACATGCTGGTGTAAATGAAAATGCACCAAACCATTAAAAAAAAAATAAGGCTCACGAGTTGGAAAACCAGGCATATGTGTACTAAGAGGCAGGAGGCAGGTGTTTGGGAGAGACACACCATCTCCATTCCCATCCCTGTCCCCAAATTAATCTAATGGCCTTCTCTCTGGTAAGGAAAGAGCATGGAAGCCTTGGTCCCTTCGGTGGGCACTACCTGCCCGTGGCATGTAACTGACAACCTGGTGTGTGGATTGTTGGGCTTTTTCCTTTTTTGGTCTATTTTTTTTGTTTTTGTTTCATGTTGTTTTTACAGTGCCTGCCTCCCTCCCCTTCCTTTTTTTTTCCTGTAACAAAGAAATAGGGTGAGTTTATTAACATCTAAATGCCATTTTCATCTTGCAACGTTAACTGTGTGGTTAGGATCCCCTAGGTACAGGAGCCAGTCAAAGCAAACAGCTGTGCCACCTACTTGTAACAGTTCCCCCGCCCACCCCCAAGCTCGGTGGGAGGAGCAGGTTAAAGACAGCCAGCCAGAGCCCCGAGTGTAGCTCCCCTGTACCTCTCAGCGAAGGATGCTGGGCCCCATAACCCAAGGGAAGATTCTGCACCTGCGGGAGGCTCGGGCATCCTGTGTGCCGTGCCCCAGCCGCCTGGGCAGCTCCTCCTATAAGCCAGAGCATTTTGATATTCCACAATCACCAGCACCAAAAGAGTGTTTAGCGAGTCAACAGAATGCCAAATAAAAGGCATCTCAACTAACTTAGCTAGCAGTATGTTGGGGTGCCTGAGCAAGGAGGATTTGGGAGGTAGGAGGTTGGGCTGGGGAGGCTGAACCTTGGGTTGCAAATGGTTGCATTCCCTGGCTGCCAGCTGTGTCTCTCGATGGGGCTGGGGAATGAACGGTTATTCCTGTGGCCTGTTCATCTGCTCTGACTGACTGATGATGCTAAGGGTAGATTGCCCATGCCTAGCCTAGCCAGAGCTCCTGGAACTGGGGTAGAAAGACATTCAGGGAACGTCTGCAAAGGACTCTGCGAAGTGTGGCTGGGGCTGCTGCTGTTACTACTGTTCTGTTAGCCTGTGTCATAGCAGAGAGCCTGCAGGGATGAAGTTGGCCTTCAAGAGCCCTGTCTCAGTCACTTGCTGTGTGACAGTGGGTGTGTTACCACTTCACCTCTCTGAACCTCCCCAGGTTGGCACAATGCTTATTGGTTTGACTGAGTGTCAGAATCCTTATCTGGAAAATGGGAATAATCACAGCTTTTGCTATGGATTGTTGAGGGTTAAATGAGATAGTGCATGTGTGAAACACTTAACAAACCTAAAGACCTGTAAATGTGGGTTATTACTACTATGTCAGTTTATTTTATCAGTGGAACAGCTCTCACTACCCATGAAGATGCTCAATTTATCTGTAAACTTCAGGTGTTAGAGAATTGCCCAAGGCCCTGTAAGTTTAACCTCTTAACTTACCCAGGGACACACAGCCAGTATATGTCAGAGGCAGAACTTTAAGCCGGTGTCTATCCTGATTTCAGAGAGGTCGCTATCCACCACTCCCTGCCACCTCTATGTTAGGAGCATAGGTTTTACCCTCATTTTACAGATGAGAAAACTGAGGCCCGGAAAAAAGAACTAGCTTGCCCTAGACCACGCAGGTAGCATACAGCAGAGCCAAGATTCAAACCCAGGTCTTCTGATTCTAAAGCCAGTGTTCTTTCCACCATGATACACTGTCTTTCACAGGCCTATAAAAAGCTCCACCCTCTTTGTGGGAGCTCTTGTCTATCCATAAGTGAGATTCCAGAAAAATTTCAAAGTGGAAGGAAATAAAAACCTAGTGCTTCTATCTGACCATCCATCTTAAATGGAGCTGCTCATTTACCTCTGGAAAGGGTGGTAGGAGGACTTACTTTTTCCAGCAGTGGTAATAAATCCCCACCAAGGGTACAGTCGCTCACCTCTGTCATTAATGAAAACAGCCATACAGATGGTTGGGAAATTCTGGGTTCAGATCCTACCTCTGACACATACTGTCTGTGTGGCCTTGGGCAAGTCACTTACCCAAGTAAGTGCTATAGGCCAGAGGTGTCAAATATAGGGTCACATGCCCCATGCCCACCCCCAAAGCTCCCAAGGATGGCCTGAACCAGATTAAAATGTAATTGGGAAATATTTAGCAAAAGAATTAAAAATACAGTGGATTATAATGTTAATAAGGGGTTCTCTAAATCAATATGTAGCTGGCAGGGGTACTTATATATGGGTTTAGTGCCCCCTCCCTTTCAATTTGAGTTTGACACCACTGCCCTAAGCAATTCTCTAAGGCTATAGCTAGAAAAGGTACCAACCTGCCTTCCTCATTTGGGAGTTCCCTCTATCAGTGAAATCAGAGGTCCAATCTTTATCCTCACCATTCCGCTTCAAGGTTTGTAAAGTGCTTTTCATTCGGTATCTCATTTAATCCTCGCAACTCTGTAAGGTAGGTGCCATTATTGTTGCCATTATACAGATGAGAAGATTGAGTCTGCAGGAGTTTAAGTGAGTATCTGAGTCAGAATTTGAACTAAGGTCTGTCTTCCTGACTACAACTCCAAACCACTACAGCACCTACCTGCCCCAGTGAGCATGTGTGGTACAGAACCACCCATGGAACACAATTGGCAAATGGACTCATATTGTTGGCATGGTTAAGGTGATGGTAAAGCCAAGGGGGCCAGTGAGAGCTGGCTGTTCAGAACAGGGCCTTTTGGGCAGGGTGTTTGCACCTAGCTGACATCAACACACATTCAAATTTTAGCTCTTAGCAGTTGCAGAAACTGGATTCTATCAGTTGAGAGTCAACAGGAACCCTACATTTGTTTGTAGGTGGAGAATCTGTATGACTTTGGGAAGGTCACTTGGCCTTTCCAGGCCTCTGTTTCCTCATCTGCAAAATGAGAGAGTGATACAGTCACCCTGAAACTCTCTCCCACCTTCCAATCTATGATACCAATGTGAATTTACATTTAGCAAAACCACAAGAGACTGACCGCCACTACCCTTCTGTTCTGTAGCAGTAGTCACCCAGATGTTTACAATTCCCAAGATTCATATCTCTTATATTAGTTTCATTTAAATTGTTATTGGGAGAACACCCTAGCCCTTAATGAATGCTGAACTGAAATCTGAGACACACCCTAGCCTTATCAGCAACATATTTACAAACCATCTCTTAGGCTGGGTTACTTCTGCAGATGGCTAACCTCTTCTATTTCCTGCTTCTGTTAACTTTGCCTTTCAAGGGTGACATTCATGGATTTTGTTGCCAAATTCTGGGAGTATAACCTATTTGGACCGTAAATACCAACTATCATTATGAAGCAGGAATAATAAGGAAGGAATAAGCATTTATCTAGTGCGTATTACATGCCAGGCACCATGCTAAGTGCTTTACAAATCCAGTCTTATTTGATCCTCACAACAACTTTACCAAGAAGGTGTTATTTTCCCCATTTTACAATGGAGGAAAATGCGATAAATGGAGGATGTGACTTGTCCAGGGTCACACAGCTAGTGGGTGTCTGAGGTCAGTTCTAGATCTGAGGCTTCATAATTCCTTGTTTTGATGCCTATTCCCACCCCTACCCCCAATCACCTAGCTGTCTAGAACCTAGTGAAATACTATCCAGTCACTAAGCAGAGTAATGAAAGAGTCCCTTGTACAGAAGCTACTAAAACAGGGACTTGGGGAAATTGAATTCACCCTTTAAAGCCACCAAATCTTATTGTATGTTATTATTTTGGCAAAATTTGTTGTTCAATCATTTTAGTGATGTCTGACTCTTCGTGATCCCATTTGGGGTTTTCTTGGCAAAGATACCAGAGTGATTTAGCATTTCCTTCTCTAGCTCATTTTATAAATAAGGAAACTGAGGCAAACAGGCTTAAGTGACTGGCCCAGGGTCACACAGTGTCTGAGGCCAGTCAAGATGAGTCTTCCTGACTCCAGGCCTGGAACTCTATCCACTGCACCACCTAGCTGCCCCTTTGGTAGAATACCGAGGGCATAATAAATGCTTGTCAATGATGATATGATGATGATGATGATGATGATGATGATGATGATGATGATGATGATGATGATGAAGGTAGACTAAACAATATGTGATGTAGCACTCCAAAATAGAGAATGCTACCCAGGCTCCACTGAGAGACATAGTACCCAGGTGTAGGAGGTGATAAGCTCATGATACTACTAATCAAACCTCAGCTGTATTCAATTCTGGGTGCCACATTGTAGTGACAACGTTGACAAGTTAAAATATATCTAGGAGGTGACCAGGTTAAGAAAAAGGCTAGAGACCATGCTTGTAGGTCAAGGGAAATGGACATTTTTAGTCTGCAGAAGACCGGGGTGCAGGGCTCTGTCTTCATCGATTTGAAGGGTACATGTGAAAGTCTAAATTTGCTCTACTTGTCCCCAAAGGGTAGAATGAAAGTGACCAGTGGATGTTGCAAAGGGACAGATTTAGGCTTGATCTATGGGGAAAACACCCCAAGCATCCGAGCACATCAAAGTGGAATTGTCTGCCTCTGAAGGTCCCAAGGTCCTATTCCTGTAGGACTTCAAATGGTGCAAGATGATCATTGTTGTAGATGATGTAGATCACCGAGTTATAGATGACCTTCCTGGTCAGGGTCAAGTCTGTGACTGTGACCTGAAAGAATGAAGGCAAAATAAGCTTAAGGCAATGTCACTAAGAGCTCCAAAGGCTGAAGAGCAGTTGGGTGAGTAGAAAAGGAGGCTGATTTCATTCATGGAAGGGTAAGGGCACCTCACTGGGGATAAATACTTAGGAAGTATTGAAGAGGAAAGACAGAGAGAGTCTAGTGAAATAGATGTTCATAAATAATGGAAACAATCTTGGGGGAGGGGATATCTACATGTCTAGGGATGGCTGAACTGAGTAATTGATGACTCTCTGACAAGCTGGCAAGAACCACACAGCCACTATGAAGAGCTCATTAAAAAAAATACTTAACTACAGCATGATTCCTTGTACCTCCCTTCCCGCCTGCAATATAATTAAATAAGGCTTTATCTAACCATTTTCCTTGTATGCATTAGGGACTCCAACTAGGAATGTCTTCCTCCCAGGACTCTAATATGCCCTTATCTGTTTGTACTAATTGAGTTATCTCATACTACCACATGGGCAGCAACTAAAGAAAGATGGAAAGGGAGATCTGGCCGGGCTGGGGGAAGGCATGGCAGCTCCCAAACCAGGAGTTGGCTCCACATGTCACAGCTGCCCTGAATCCTGTCTGGAGCTCCAAAAGGCCAGCCTTTCTGCGAATGTCTAACTTCTTTTCCACCTTCTATAATCCTGAAAACCATTTCCCACTCTTGACCTTGGTTTTTCCCCCATCTGTAAAATGGAAATAATGATACCTATGTAACCTAGTTCACAGGATTATCGTGGTAATTAAATAACAGAGAAACAGAAAAAGAGAGACAGAGAGGCAGATAGAGAAGAGAAGAGGAGGACAGGAGGAGAGGAGAAGAGAGGAAAGGACAGGAGAGGGGAGGGGAAGGGGAAAGGAAGAGGGGAGGGAAGGGGAGAAGAGGGGAGGGGAGAGGAGAAAGAGAGGGCAGCTAGATCACACATATTTATATTATATAAATCTATATTTATATATACATGTATTTATTTGTTATATAAACTTATAAATTTATGTTATAAAATGGATTAAGCAGCTAAGTAGTGCCATGAATGGAGTGTGAGAACTAGAGTGAGGAAGACCTGGGTATGAATCATGTCTCAGACACTTCTTGGTGGGTGCCCTGGGCAATTCACTTAATATCTCTGAATTTCCTCAACTGTAAAATGGGTTTTTCTTCCCAGGGTTGTTGTGAAGACCTAATGAAATAGCATTTATTGCTCAAGTGCTTTGCACACCTTAAATTGCTATGGAAATGCTAACCATCGTTGTTGTTATTATGTGTGATTGTGTACAGATGTTCATATGGACGCGTGTTTGTTCAATCATTTATCTATTTATTATCCCTGAGGAACAAAGAACTTCCTCTTCCAATGTCGATAATGTGTAAAGTGGTTTGCAAACTTTAAAGCACTATACAAATGCTAGCTATTATTATTATTATTACCATATTTATAGTCTTAGACAGAGACCTGGAACACTGAAAGAGCCAGTGGAGAAAACAATGGCTTTGGGGTCAAGGACTTCAGGTTCGATCTCAGCTCTGATCCTTACTATTTGACCCTGAGGCAGGTCATTTAATCTCTTTGTGCCTCAGTTTCCTTAGGTATAAAATGAAGGAATTGAACTAGATATCCTCTGAGGTCCCTTCAAGCTTTTCATCTAGAATCCCATGACTTGCTCAACGTCACACAAACAATATGTCAGTGGTGAGATTTGAACCTAATCTTCCAGAATCTAAGATTGGCCTCCTATTCATCATGAGAAAAGAAAAAGAAATGGCATTTGTATAGTGTCTTAAGGTTTAAAAACTACTTTATATATTTTTTTTCATTTCAGCTTTATGAACAACCCTATGAGGTAGCATTGATTATTACTCCCTAATTTACAGGAGACTAAAACTCAGAAACTCGAGAGAGGTTAGGTGACTTATCCAAGGTCACACAGCTGACATGTTTCTAAGGTAGCTTTTGAACCCAAGTCTTCCTGATTCCATTTCTAGAAGAATTGTTTGTAAACATTAAAGCCCTATACCAAGGGCTCTTAACTTTCTTTCCTTCTTTCCTTCTTTCTTTCTTTCTTTCTTTCTTCCTTCCTTTCTTCCATCCTTCCTTCCCTTCTTTCTTTCTTTCCTTGTTTTGTATCATGATCTCTTTTGGAGGTCTGATGAAGCCTACAGACCTCTTCGTGGAACAATGTTTTTAAATGCATCAAATGAAACCTATAGGATTACAAAGGAAACCAATCATATCAAAATACAAATTATCCAAATATTTTTTGAACAAGTTCGTAGAATCAAAGTGAAGAATCTCTGCGCTGAACAAATGTCAACCACCGTCACTGTCAGGATCATCATGGCCTTTATCATCACTGTCAGTAAAACCTTATTAACCTGTCACTCACTGTAAATGTACCATCACAAAAGTGAGTGTGTAAAGTATTTCTTAAGGCAGTCATGGGGAATATCCAGAGAAGAAGGAAATTGTATTTGAGACTCAGTTTTTCAAAGTGAATTCCTAACCCCTGAAACAACACATTTGTTACCCTCCTAAGGGTTTCAGCTGCAAGCCAGTTTGATTTTCTTACTTTTTCAGCCAGATCCCATGTGGCATGTCTTTGATACTGATTCTGGGTAAAGAAGACCTATACAGAGGACCCAATTCCAAGCAGGTCAATACTTCTAAGACAGAGGTGATTTGAAGGTGGGACTGCTTACTGGCTCCCTGGTCCACTGAGAGTCCTAAAACATCTGCTTGTCACTCCGAAGAATGGTGGGCAGCCCGACTCTGCCCACTTTGGATGGGGTGGGTGGGGTCAGCAGTATGTACCCTGACTTGGGACATCCAACCAACTGGCTGAGGAAAGCAGATTCCCCCCAGGTTCTTTGATGCTGCTCAGAACACTTTCTTTAATCTTCCTTGCATCTGGTTTCGATTCTAACAAACATTTATGAAGCACACATGGAACACTACGTGCTGGGTTTGGCTGAATAGCTTGGCCCTCTCTGCACCCTGAATTCTGTGGCTGTTCCATCCTTTCAGCCCCTGCTGACATGCTCCATTGCCTCTGGCCCTCTCAGACTCTTTTGACTAATCTGGAATTGATCTCTTCTCTGTGCCTTGGGTAAGCTCCCTTGCTGAACAATTTTCAATTACAGACTTAAGTCTCCATTCCCTCAAAACCCCAGCCTATCCCTTCCCCAATGAGTCTGAGATCCATCATCAAATCTGCTGTAGCCTATGGACCCTATCTCAGAATCATCGTGTTGGGGTTTTTAATTTTTTGATTAAATTTTAATCATTAAAAAAATTCATAATTGAAGGAAGTGTTATATTTCAGTTAGAAGTTACTGAAAATAAAGGTAACATTTTCCCTATTCAAGTTCATGGACCCCATGAAACATATGGCTGGACTTCCAAGGGTTCTAGGTTCATCTGCATTGGCCTTACGCCAGTACTCTGCACGTGATGGGGAATTAATAAATGTTGCATAAATGAAATGGTTAATTCTTTCCCCTGATCTTTGCCAAGCACCCTTTCTGGAGACCATATTTAAGGAGGGGGGAAAGCTCATCTTGTTATAATAATAATAAATAATAAATAAAATAATAATAATGATAATATATTAATATTGATGATAATAAATACTAATAAATGAAAATTGACATTTTCATAGCACTTTAAAGTTTCTGAAGCATTATTTCATTTGAGCTTCCCAATGACCCAATGAGATAGGTATGACAGATACTATTATCTCAGTGATATGTCTCATACTATTACAGATTAGAGAACTGATGCTCAGGGAGGTTAAGTGATTTGGCCATGGTCACACAGTAAATATGAGAGTTAGGATTTGAACTCAAGCCTTCTTGACTCCAGGTCCAACACTCAACCTATATCCAGAGGCGAATTGCAAGAAAATTCTGCAAAATGAGAAAAGACTTCTAGGGCCAGGAGTGATGAGGGACTTCTCAGTCCATCATATTCCCTGCATGTGTATCTCACTACCTCGATCTTTTTCTGAGACAAAATGTTTAAAAACAGAAACAACAAAAAACCAGAACAAAACGGGAGTTATTGCTATACTTTGAGAATAAGACATCTAATCATTTTGGCCTCAGTTATTTGATCCTTTCTTAACCAACAAAAGAAAACACATCTTACAGAGCTTTTTCATGCATCTTTGTCTCTGGCGAAGTAATGAAACAATGTTGATGAGAAACAATAATAATAATAATGGCTAGTACTTACATAGCACTTTAAAGTTTGCAAAGTGCCTTAGAAATAGATCTCATCTAATCCTCACAACTACCCTGGAAGGGAGGTGTTATCATTAATCTCATTTTAAATATGAGGAAAGTGAGGCTAAGAGCACTTAAATGGTTTACTCCAGGTCAAAGAGATAGGGTCAGTGGCTGCATTTGAACTCAGGTCTTCCATTCTATCCACCTAGCTGCCACAAAGAATGAGAAGGAAGAGATCTCTGGGGGAATTAGGATTATCTTTCAACAATCAAGCGCCTTGTTCCCACTCACTTGATGTTGGCAGAGGGTTTTTCAGCTGAGGAATTAGTCTGCCATCTTGTAAACTACTCAGTTGACCATTTGGTGTTATGCCAGTGAGATAAGTAACAGTCATCGTGATGGTATTATTTCTGAAGAGGCACAGGTCAATGGACAAAGAAGTTTGAAAATATTAGTGATATCTTTGAGCCTCATATCCAAGAATGGATGAACTGTCAGCCCCTCACCCAAAATCTTTTCTGAAAAGGAGATGATGCCAGGATATGGGCAAATGCCTCTGTGATTGAGTCTTTCCTCACCTTAGAAAGACTTCCCTCCTTTGCCTCCCCATAGAATGTTATGTAATGGAACAAAGAGGTACCTTACTGGAAAGATAATTGGTCATTCCAACTCAACACTGAGGGGAAAGAAGTCTCCTGGCATTTCCAGCAAACACTGTGTGCTATCACAAGTGATGTGATGATGTCCAATATT